CGCTTTTGAAACAGGGCCGCTCCTGAGACACGCCTTACTATCGAGAAGTAAACTGACCGTCGCTGGAGTGCGCGCGGCAAGGGGACAAAAGTAGGCGTTTGTCTCAAAATTCCGACCAGAAGTGCAAATAATTCCGAACACTGCATTATGCGGTCATCGTGCAAACATTTGGTTTATATCTGCGGGTAGTCAAAGGCTGACCTATAATAGGTAAATGCAGAGTACTGTACTGTTGTGCGTCGGTAACGCAGATTCCTGTAGAGTCGCAAGGCGCGTCAGCTGCGGAGCCACGGTCCTGTGATGTGCTATAGCTAAATTTACGACTACGACCCGTCCCTGACAGTTCTCGTACCGTCTTCCCGTTCTCTCTCTTGAAGGTATGACCACCTTGGTGTTCGGCGTCGGCGTGGGATTATTCATCATCCTCAGTTTGTGGGTGCTGGCCGCGCTAATATTCCTGTTATCGCTGCGCCTCGAGAGGAAGGTCGGCGTGATCGCTATACTACTCGTGAGCGCATTGACGATTATACTAATCAGTGTGCCGCGCGCGTCGGAGAAGCCCGTTCCCACAAGCAGCAAGGTACGGGTCGGTGGAATTTTATTCTCAGACGCAGATGGAGGAATATCGCGTTTGAACAATCACGTCACGCTCCGACCAACTCGATTCACTCCAGCAGATCGTGTTAGGCGCGTTGTCCGCGATCCCCGACTAAATCCCGACTAAACCCCCGATTAACTCGATCGACTCGCAGTAGCACCTGTTAATTTTCACGAGTATTCCCTTAGTCTGAATGGAATCGTTGATTTTTTGCCTAAAAAGAATGGTTAGAAGGAACGGACGATGTAATCGGGAATTTGGCTGGAAGTAATTGTCAGATTAATCGCCGTTAAGTTAATCGGAGTTTAGTAGAACTTACCCTCGGAATCTGGAGCTTTTAATTCACTTCCATCCTTGACTTAATTTCACGGATAAATTAAACTGCTCCAATTTATTTCATCTTGTACTATCGTTTGTAATTAGAAAAAGTCGTTGGGATAAAAATAGGGCAAACGGGGTCGTCTAAAAAAACAATTACATAACTGAACGTTCGCGAACGTTCCTCAACGGATCTCTGTTTTGCAGGTGTACGATCGGCTTTTTATCGGACGAGTTATCCTTCTGATCCTGTTATTCGTCTCGGCTATAGTTTCCCTCGTGGGATACGTTAAATTTGGATTAGCAGAGGCTGTCAGGCCAGTCCGAATATCCGGCTGGGTTCTCTAGGCGCAGCCTCTTCGGTACGTTTTAAATCAACGATATATAACGAGGACGCGTTGGTGTCGAGATAAAATTGAAATTAAGAGATGCGGCAGTATCTCGCGCCACATATAAGCGTAGCGAAAACTGCTCAGAACTTATACATGATGTTTCTTCGGGGTAATAGCAAGTATTTTTGGCAGGTAAATACTGCCTGTTGTCGTATAAGTATATAATTAATCAGCCCAACAATTTTCCTTCTAGGTACTCTTGCCTGCCGGCAAGCATGAAAACGTTTGACACACGCAAGATTTAACTGAAGCTCGTCTTTTCGCACATACATAATCATTGACTGTTCGTTTGACCTATAAAGCACACTTTAAAAAAAGAAAAGAGAAACGATGTTGTGTAGCATAAGAAATTGCATGCCGTTTGTAGCGAGACGGATTTCACTATTTCGCCAGATTAACAAACGATACGAGATAAATAATAACAGCGAGTTTGTGAGCAAGGTGATGAACGGCACTGTGCCGGTTATAGTCAATTTTCACGCGGACTGGTGCGATCCATGTAAGATACTGACGCCCAAGTTAATAGAACTCATAGAGCCTATGGATAAGCTAGATCTGGCCATAGTCGACGTGGAGGAGAATCCCGAATTGGTGCACGTCTTCGAGGTGAAAGCTGTACCGGCGGTGATAGCAATCTCGAATGGCTTAGTCGTAGACAAATTTATCGGTTTAGTTAACAACGAGATGATCGAGAGCTTGATACAAAAGCTGACGCACGAAGGACCAATGACTACGGAAAGTAGCGACACTAACGATAAATCGTAGTCATGAACATAGTGAATTACGTAATACACACTTTACGCTTCCATTTCTCTCTATCAACTAAATGTATTTTCATACTTGTAGAGAGAGAGAGAGAGAGAATTGTAACACCTCTAAGCTACTTCGTCCAAGAATTATGGCCTTTTTTTATCTAATTATGCTCAGATAAGCACTGTGTAGGTAAAACTTTTAGATATATTTGTTGTAAAATAGCAATATTATAATGTTAAGTGATTAACGAAACTAATGTGTATGTATTAATACTCGTGAATCTGTTAATGTCCAGATTATATATTATATTGAAATATTTATACTTCTATACACTTAGATATTCTACAGGGTGCTCCCGGATTAAATGGCCAAATTTGAAAGATGTATTTAGGACCTCAAAGCAAGACAAATTTTCCTCTGGAAATATGCTCGTAAACGTTCCGTTCACGAGATATTGACTTCTGAAGTTATGAACTGTTAGGAATGAATAATTTCGAAATAATTCAGATTTATCCTCTTTATTGCTTTTTAATAATAAAAATTTAATTATTAAACGTTTTGTTCAAAATGATGGCCTCCAGCTTGGAGACATGCATTGCACCTATCGATGACTGAATGAGTGGCTGACTGACATTGTGCGTCTGTAATTTCGTTACACGCCTGCACTATCCTCCGTTTTAATGATTGAAGATCATTAACGGGCACTTCATACCAGTTTATTCGACGAAAGCATTCAACGAACTAAGTATGATGATACGACGCTTTCTTTACCATGCAAATAAAAGCCTATCAATGACCTTCGATTTCGTAAACAAAGTTCCGTCGTACTGTATGTTTTGCGATTGGTTTTTAAATCAAACAAATTACGATTTACAATTCTCACAAAACATTTTATGGACAGATGAAGCCATATTTACCAGACAAGGAATTCTGAATCAAAGAAATAGTCATATTTCGAAATTATTCGTTCCTAAAAGTTCATAACTTCAGACGTCAATATCTCTTGAACGGAACGTTTACGAGCATATTTCCAGAGGAAAATTTTCCTTGCTTTTAGGTCCTAAATACATCTTTCACGTTTGGCCATTTAACCCGGGAGCACCCTGTATAATACAGAGAGCTTGTTCAACAGCCTATATTCTTGAATCGACCAAAACGATGGTAGAAATTCTCCTTGCGATGTTCGAAAGATGCGAGACAGGAGTCCTATATCATAAAGAAGATTATTGTAGAATCTATTGCAAAGTATAAAACACCTGTAAACTGAAACACTTGTGATATATATCTTTTTAGATACGACTTTTTTCAATATATATTCTTGAGATAGCTGTGCGTATCTTCGCTTAATATTTATATAAGTATATAGTAAAACCAAATAAAAATCACTCGACGAGTCAGACCGATAACAAATTGTGTGCAATGATGATAAGTCTGCAAAGTGATACGAATTGCGTTACTTTGGACGTGTGACGATAGATATTTTTTAAATACACTTTATACACATATACATATATTTTTTTCTGATAGCTTACTTTCATTTAATAATATAATTAATAATAATAATGATGTTTAATAGATAATTTGTACGCTAATCTCTTAAATTGTAAAAAATGTATATATATATATATATATATATATTATATATTAATTTCTGTAAGTTATTCGAGAGAGGTTGGAGGACAGTTACTTTAGCCGCTTAAGTCGCGCGTGTAGAGCTTTGTGACGGTGCGGCCGAGATAAATCATTATCTAATCAGATTTCAATTTCTCATTTATTGGTTGATCATCGTGTACAATCAGTGTACGAAAGTACTGTCCATTAAAGATATAGTAGGCCAGAGATATAATAGATTATTAACTCCACGTACAACTCTCTGGTGAAAGAGCACCTCTTCCCTGCCCCCCCCCCCCCGTCTTTCGGCAGCAAGCGATACGTAAACGTGTTACCAACAATTAAAAGACTAGCTATAATCTTTTTCATCATCAGTCAGGTGTTTTTTAAGACACCATGATAAGGCAATGCTGTGATTCTGTGGTCACTTGCAAAAAACTATTTTCTCTTTCCTATTTGCCAAATAAATACGCATTGTGTACATGTATGTATATACTTGTACACACATACATACGCATTTCTTTTCTACACGGCAACGAACGAACGAGTTAAGTGCTTCGGATTTATGCAAGCAACCCTGCGTTTTCTTATTATTTAAATAACCAGAATATCTACGTCTCTAACTCGTTTATAACATTTACAGTGAAATAAGTGTAAAGCGGCGTAATTGATTTACAGAGATTATATGTACAAAATCAGAGGAAAACGAGGAAGAGAAACAAAAACAATTCGTAAATTACTTTCTCCTTTGAAAGGATAACATTATAGACACTTCATCGCCCCGACAGAACATCACGTCAATGCGTTTTACACGCGACATCCTTGACTTGGACGTAAATGCACTGCCGACTAACGATCCTCTGTGTAATTAAGTAATGCCAAGCACGGGTTTGAACGAGATTACACCGATATTTTCAGCGCACGCGGATATGTCCTGCCAGAGCGCAAGGGCGAATTCGGTGGCCCCGCAAAAATTATAAGTAAAGTCGATCCCCGGGTGCTTTGAGGACCGCGCATATAATCCGAGTGTGTCGCGCGACGTTTATGTATTTACAATTTATCTACACTGCTTATACTTTTAAAAAAGAGAACCGTAACAAAATGTAGAAAAACACGAATGATACTTTTATGTACAATTATCCTATCTGCGCCGGTATCCGCTGCTATTGTGACCTGTGCCAGCTGCGGAGTACGTTTAAAGAGCAACCCTCCCCCTCCCCCCCCGGTTTTATGATACATTATTACATATTCGCAAATAATACAACTTCTACTCGGTGGCTCGTTCCTCCCTTATCTTTTCGTTCAACCGCCAAAAATATATATACCGCATTTACATTATAGATCAGCAATTATCGACGCATTTTTACATTACAAATTAGTGGAAGAAAAACGCGCCCTGACGCTACCCTTTCTCTATTAACCGATAGTATAGAATCTAGATATTATTGGGCAACAAGTAACATCTGCTCCGTTCCGTGAATGAACTAGTATATCATCATATCGTAATATACAGTACATATGATACAACATGATACAATTCGGTTTGCATTGAATAGCTTGGCGATTGGCGTTTTTACCTTCTCATGTGACTCGCGAGAAATAACAATATATGTATGTATTTTGTGATACAAGGTGACAAAATATTCTTTTGTTTGTGTGTGTGTGCGCGCGCGCGCGTGTATACAGGATGTCACATTTTAATTTACCCACGCAAATATCTCCAAAAATTTGAAAGATACGGAAAAACGTTTCAAACAAAAGCTGTTTGGTTCGAAGGGGGGCATAAGGTGGTGCCATTAACTTGACCTTGGATAGTCATTTGAAGGTCACGTGAAGGTTATTTTCAATTTTTTAAATGGGACCCCCTATTGTTTACTATACTATCTTATTCTACTAATTAATATAAACAACTTTTATTCGAAACATTTTTTTTATTTGCCTAATACTTTTTGAAATATTCAAGAAAAAGTTATAACTTTTTCAGTGTTTAGCTTATATCTCGATAACTGTTTGTCGGAGGAAAAAGTAGTACAGGACTTTTTTACTTAATTTGGTCTCAATAGTTCTCCAATTATTGAAAATTTTTATGTAGGTATGTAAATTTTGTGTTACAATATACAAAAATTTTCAATAATTGAAACACTATTCAATAACTGCAACATATTCCTGAAACTAAATCAAGTAAAAAAAGTCCTGTTCCAATTTTCCCATTGAAAAAGTTATAAATTTTCTCGTAAATATCTCAAAAAGTATTGCGCAAATAAAAAATATTTCGCTACAAAAGTTGTTCATATTAATTAGTAGAATAAAATAGTATAATAAACAATAGGGGGTTTCATTTAAAAAATTGAAGGTGACCTTCAAATAACTATCCATGGTCAAGTCAATGGCACCACCTTGTCCCCCTTCGAACCAAACAACTTTTATTTGAAACGTTTTTCCGTATCTCATATTTTTGGAGATATTTGCGTGGATCATTTAAAATGAGACACCCTGTGTGTATGTGTGTGTATATATCTGTCTTTGTCTCCCATCTCTCTTTCTCTCTCTATACAATCTACAATTCTTCAACATATCTATTTTTCGCATCGCAATGTCCGATGAGCGAAACTTTAGCGTTTCAACGACGATCAAGGTGGAAACAGCGGTACGTTAAATTCGACGAAGAGTATCATTGAATCTGCGAAACTTCTTATTCTTAAGTACAATATCAACGAAAGAATGTAGACGCAATTGGAGGGGTGTACGATGATAACATGCTAAAACACGGAGGGAGTTTCGATCCTATAGTGAAGCGAGTGAAAAATATCGCAGACTCCCCGGACTATCCTGGAAAAAAAGAAAGGAGAGAAGAGGACGTTAAAAGGCTGCGGCTGTAATCACAATGAATCTTGTCAATCGAGATAAGTTAAGGATCTCACGTGATTGAGCGTGTCGTTGATCCGAGTCCTTCGATTTACGATCTAATGGCGAGTATTGACTTCGTGGAAGTAGGTAGGTAACTAGCGTTCGGTATCGTCAATGCGATACCAATTGTTCGCGTTTAGGGATTAATTTCTACGCTTTCGCGTCTCGTTGCGCACCAGGCGGTCTCGAGCGAGAGCCGAGCCGCCCCGCTCGGTCTGCAGATCGGTAGGAAAAGCGTACAAAAACGTCGGCCGTGCGTTATCGCGTTGTCTGTTTCCGAGACATTGTGCTAAACCTCCGCCCCCAAGTCCCGTACACCCTGCTCAGCTATCGGCACGTACTTGTCCTCGATCTTCACGAGCAGGATGACCTTGTCGACGTGCGAGCGTCTATTGGGGTCGCGGTGATTCGGTGACCAACGATGAACCACGCAACCCTCCATACCTCTTTCCGGCACCCAGTGTTGCCAGCCGGAACGACCGCCTTGCTGTCGCATCCTCTCGTCAGGCCAAATCACGTCTATACGTCGGCCCAAATTGATGGCGTCATACACTTGATTAGGGTCCATGATCTATTGGAAGAAAACCGATCGTTAATGATTGATGAATATAAAAAAAAAGAGGCTTTACATTTCTAATGGCTGAAGACTTGGTGCAGTCCAAACGTTCGTCGTGTAGTTAATAACTATTTTTTATTGAATATAATACCTCATATTTTTTGGCCCTTGACTTTATGATTTCATTTTACATTTAATTTACACATTTAGACAAAAGTTGATGTAAATTCGCGACGCGTGCTACGACACTTACGCGAACCCTTTGAAAAACTTCCTCTTTCTCTAGCTTGCTGGAGAAGCTCGTTTCGCTTTTCGTTTCCATTTTGATGTCGTTACTACTGAGCAGTCCGGCTAAACTGGCAAGTGTCGAGCTGGTTGGCTTCCCGACGGAAGCTAGTGAGCCCCTGTTACCACCGAGAGAACCCGTATTCGCACGACCGAGGGAACCCCGACCAGTCGAACCGCCGATTTGACAGCCAGACTCCATCGATTGAGAACCGGAAGTGTTGTGACCCGATTGAGCATATCCTACATTAAAGAGTTACGTTCATAGTCATTAAAAACTCAATATTTATGTTTATGTTATGGCAAAAAATATAGAAAAAAATATAGACCAAATTCTTAATCCAAGTTATCGCTCGGAGGTACTTTGAAAACAGAATAATCATCCACAGTTACAATACAATTTTAAGAACTATTAATGGAGGATTCTTTATTCTGTGCTTACTGAAAAATATTGCTCCGTAAGAAATATATGGAAATTATAATCTTCCACTCTGATTTATTCTAGTAAATCGTCTACATAATATTCTAGATTTTTAGTCCTACGTTTTATACATATATGTATATAATCAAAGATGATAGAATAGTGCATCAGAGAGTTAATTGAGTCCGTTTGTTGTGACCAAATAAATAAATTGCAACTACCAGAGTGTATGTTGTACGTGGTCATCGCATATACTCCGTCATTTCCGAAGCCTCCGTCGTCTTGGGAGCCTGTGCCACCCGAAGAACAACCTTGACCGCATCTTCTTCTTATCCTGAAGCAACGGGTAAAGTTAAATTAACAGATTCGCGAGTAAACGCTTCTTGCGTTTATTTAAATCAGCTTGAATAGAACGTTCGGAGATAAAAGATCGTTTTCCGTTTCGAGACACACACCTTCTCCATAATTTCAACACAGTACTCTTTATGGTGCCAAAAGTTAACGGTCCCCCGATTATCGAGCACAAGTGTTCGTTAGTTTCGGCGTAGCTGGTCGTCAAAGGGGAGACGTAAATCGGATATCCGATCGGCTGGTCGCAAGAACTGTTGATTATGTTCCTGAGAGCCTGCTTGGCGTTCTGTATTGAGCCGCGCTCCGGATTTCTGTTCCTCAGATACACCAGCTCCTGCTGCTGGCCGGCCCAGAGTCCGCGGACGCACTCGCGATTCATTTTGATCACTCGGAAGCTCAGGAAACGTTTGTTGAGCATTATCACCTTGTACTCGTCTATGCCGTCGTCAAGTACGTGTCTGAAAATGTTCAACGTTTATCTCAATCGTTCGATCGTCTATCTCAATTGCGGCGTCTCCGCAATTTCCCCGTTTTGCAAGATGCGAACCTGAGCGCCAGTAGACTGGGTGCACCGCTCAGCACGGCATTTCTCCAAAGAGGATCCGCCTCATGACTGATGACGAGGTTCTGATCGTGATTGTCGATGGCCTCGAAAAGTGCCGCCGATTCAACGTACTGCTCTGGACTCATAAAATGGTCCTGATGCAGTTTTAAGGCCATTCTTATCCCTTTCGCGACTACGCTGCGCAGCAGATCGACATCGTGCAGCACCCATTCGTCGCGAACTGATGTTATCCGGAAGTCTCCTACCGTCAAATACATACGCGATAAATACTCCAAAAACAAAAAATTAAATAAATACACAGATAATTGCTACAAGGTCACGCTGTACCTTTAAATAACGCGTGCAGTCCATAAAGAAAGAATTCAACGTTCGACAATGTGTTGTGAGATGCAGCGCCTAACACGCGTCTTCCCAGCAGACTCAACGAGAGGCACAGAGACACAAGATACGAATCGCGCGTTCTGTCCAACGACTGGAAAACACAATAGGCTGTAAGACAATTTTCGGAGACGATTGTGATTTGTACGAGCGAATCGTCACCTTGACGCTACAATCGTCGTCAATTAAACAATTCAACGTGTCTTTCTTTCCGTCCAAACAAAATAGCTACCGAGTAAACACCAACTAATAGTTACGTAATATCAATATTCAAATTTTCTACTTGACAATGTAATTGTTAGTAGGTGTTTACTGGGCATCGACTAACTAAACGTGATTCAAACTGTTTAATCATCTACTCGTGATATAATTGTATTTGATGTGATTTCAAGAGTGAATTTCTCTCGATTTATTATAATTCCAAGTGCACTAGTGTAAACAATGCCGAAAAGTTACCGAATTGCGTTGTAATATCAAGATGGCGAAATAATACAAATGTCACCAGTGTATCACCTTATCTTGTTTACCGGCGCAATATTGTATCCAGTCGAGATAAACATTGCAGAAGTTGCCCCGCGTGATGCCGCTCGCACGGAAATCAAAGTCCTCGTCGATCTTGACGTTGAAGACGGGATCGAGATCGACGAAGTTCTTGTCGAGCGTTGGCTTCAGCGCCTCAATGATGTCCGGGTTCTCCAGCCACTGCTTCAGCTTAGTCGACTTGACGGCGTAGAAGACGATGCTCTTGACGTAGTAAGTAACCAGTACCTTGCGAAACTCAAACACCTGCAGCATAGAGCCCGCCGAGTTGTCGGAGATCGAGTAGCCCTCGAGCACGTATTTCGCGCTCGCGACCTCCCAGGCGAGCCAGCGTTGGCTGAACGCCGCGTTTACGCTAAGCACGTTCGACAGGTGACCCATTTCGCAGCAACAGCAATTGTCGTTGTCTTCGATGCCTTCCGAGATTGCTTCCACCTGAAGAGACACACGGACAGAATCATTGGCAACGAAGTCTAATGAAACAAAAGGGATAATTCCAATGTGTTTGCCTGCACACCTCTCTCTGCTGACAATACGTCCCTCGAAATTCGAGACCTCTCAACTGGAACGTCACCAGTCCGTTACCTAATTGGACTATGTGCACCAGGCAGTTGAGGTAATCGGACGCGAGCAGAAAGCAGTCGCCCTGCTCGACGTTTCCCCATCGGCCGAGCGCGAGGTCACCGCACAGGCTGTGCTGAAGGGAGCGCGTGAGCTGCTCGTAGAATATAGAGTTGAGATTGTTATCGTCGGCGCCGAGATTGCGCTCCAGATGCGAGGACATACGCGTGTTGGAGTGGTCCACCCTTCTGGTCTTGTAGTCCCTCTCCCAGAACTTAACGGGCCGCACGTAGGACGAGATGAAGATCGCGCTGCCGAGCAGCGGGTTCAGGGGCGTGCTGAGCATCGCGGAGATGCCGGCCTGGAGGAACAGCATCGCCGAGTGCGGTACGGAAAAGGGCTGGGCGAACGCGTGGAACGCGCTGCCCCAGGTGATCTGCCAGGGCGCGATGTACGTGACGACGAAGCGAACCTTGAGCAGCAGCTCGTAGATCTTGGCAAACGCGATCCCCGTGACGAAGTAGTCCATCAGGAAGGTCTCGCTCAGGTCGCCGAAGTCGAGCTGGAAGAAGAGCACCGCGAAGACGAGGACGAGGTAGCGGGTGGACGGGTCCGAGTACGCCGACCTGAGCGACTTGAGGCCGCACACGACGACGATGAGGGCGCCTACGCTCTCGCCGAACTTGCCGGCGATCTTGGACGAGCACTCGGTGAGCGCGCCCAGGAAGACGACCGGGTAGAGCACGTTCCGCTCGAGGAAGCACAGGTACACGTAGGCCTTCTCGAACCACATGATCCTCACCGGCTCGCGCACCTCGAACTGCGCGTGCTCGTGGCTGCGCAGCACCGGCCTCGAGAGGCACAGCCACGGCAGCTGCTTGCGCAGCTGCGGCACGATGTAGTGCAGAAGGAAGCCCAGGCAGCTCACGATGCTCCAGAGTACCGGGTTGAGCTCCGGCTGCAGGGCGGTGAATACCGTCGTGCGGTGAATCCCGAAGGACAGCGTGCCAATCACCGCGCACACGATCAGGTCGTTCTTCAGCCTGGCATTCACCGTCGAGCGTAGCTTCTCCGGCAGGGGATCCACCAGCTCGGTATCCGACATCTGCTCGCCCACCTTGATTTTCACGTCTTTCTTCCTACCGCAGGTTTTGCTCTTTGTCTCCTTGTAGCTCGCGGCCACGTTGTCCGGCTGCGACGACAGCGTGTTCTCGATGATCTTCGCCTCCTTTTCCTCCGTGTATCTGTCGGCCCCGATCTCGGGCGGCCACAGATTCGCCTTGACGATGTCCCATATCACGCTGGGGTCCGAAGACGAGCGGCTCAAGTGGTAGGATATTGCGACGAGGAGACCAACGAATATGGAGAACAGGATGTGCTGCGAGGACTTGGGCTCGAGAAGGGCGCCGTAGGCGAATCCGTAGAGGATGAGAACCGCAACGACGCTGCGACACAGGCAATACACCGACGACACTAGACTGGTGGTCGCGTTGCCGCCGAACAGATGAATGTCCAGGTGCTCGCAGACGTACATGAGGAATGTGTTGATCTGCGGGAAGAGTCCCAGCGAGAACACGATCGGAAAGCACAGCAGGAATATCAATAGGACGTTTCGCACTTGCAGTATGAGATCGTAGTCCGCGACGCGCAACCCATATACCCGAAAGTCCGACGATTTGAAGTTCCTGAGGATCTCGTTGAAGATCAGAATCAGGCTCGAGCACAGGATGTAGTACGCGGGCCTGGAGAACACTATGATACGATTGAAGCCGTGCGTGGGCGACGCGGCGTCGGGCTGAACCGATTTGAGCAGCGAGTACTGGCAGCCGGCCGTCACGAAGCAGAATATGAACGCGAAGATGTCCCGGTAGAAGCCTTGCTGGAGCAACAGGAGACCCAGCCCGGCAACCGCGCCCGCCAGAAACGTAGAAACGATGGTCTCGAACACGGTCAGGTTGCGATCGAGCAAGGCCAGCAGGGCGAGACGGTCGAAGCGTATTTTAACATGCGGCAGTCGGCCGATCTTCCACTTGTAATAGTGCCTGGTCTGCTTGGGCTTGGAATCGGAGCCGTCCAGGCCGTCGACAAAGCGGTTCCACGACAGGCTGGTGTTTATGTCGGGTTCCTGATGCGCGGGCAACGTCAGCACCGGCATGCGGCCGTTGAGATCAGACTGGTACTGATTCAGGTTCAGATTGCCCAGCAGATTCTGCAGCCTGCGGTTTCTGTCGGCCATCGAGTCCGAGCGCGCGATCAGCGTGTGATGGAATTGCTCGCGCTCCGAATTCTCGCCGAGGGTGCACTGATTCGAGCTGCCTGTGTTCGACGAGACCAGGTTCGACGGCGGCGAGCTCTGCGTCTTGGTCTGATTGCTCGCCGGGCTCGACAGCACCGGCGGCGTGTCGATTATCACCGTCAGCCCGGCGGAGTTGAGCGACAAGCTGCTGTAACTGTTGCTCAGCGAATCCGCGAGCTCCCAATTCGCCTCGTAGTGCATATTCTGGTTGAGCTGCTGGCGCAGCAGGGTGTTGAGCAGCTTCTCGTTGTGCGGATTGCTGGGTACCTGCGTCGCCGTCGCCGCGGCAGCGGCAGCGGCGGCGGCGGCAGCTACGTCCAGGCCTTTCTCGTCAAACGTGTAAGCCAGCCAGTGGCCGTTGTCGTCACGGAAGTAATGCACCGCTCCCTCCGAGGTGTCGTTCTGATTGGTGGCCAGGTGGCACTCGCCACTCGAGATCAAACCGAACAGCGCGGTCAGTGGCACGACGTAGTCGTCGCGACTGGCGATATTGCGCGACCTGGCGCGGTGAGCTCGGTTGGGCCGCTTCAGCCGTCCGTATCGGGTCCGGAAGTTCCGCTTCTCGGTGTTGCGGCTGAGTCGCAGGTCGGACGACGCGGCGCTCGACTGACCGGGCAGATCCCGACCGGAATTGTTCAGCAACGCAGCCAGCAGCGGAGACGCCGGGCTCGGCAGCAACGTGCTCAGCTCGTTGTTCGAGCCGCCAGTCTGCTCGAACTTGGCGTCTCGCCTCCTGGTCCTCTCCCGTCGGACTTCGATGTAACGCTTAAGATTTTCCCGCGGCTGCTCGACGCTCGACACGATACTGTCGTCCGTGGCGTCCGGCGCAGTGGGCTTTGGACGGCTCTGCTTGGGGATCGCCCCCTGGTGACGCTTGACGGTGTTGTCCACCTCCAGTTGCGGCAACAAATTCCGCTTCACCTCGTTCTCGATGCTGAGGGTCGTTGTACTGGACGATCCCGAGTCGGGCTCCTTAGACTGAAGATCTACGCAAATCAACACACAACTGATTACTTTATCCATTGCCCCCGTCGGGTTTACAGTTTGCGATCAACGCTAGAAGATCGCTCGCCTCTGAACTTGACTCGTCAAAATCGCATTGTGAATTGAGAAAGTCATGCGCGAAGCTGGGTGAAGCGCTAAATGTGCGACACGCTCATCTGCCAATTGAGTGTCGTGTTAAAATGCTCCTCGACTTAACAGTGATCTCCCCAACGCGACTGTAGATCCTAACTCTATAATGCGTCCAACTTACAATCTGTACTAGCCGTCTGTAGGCTCTCTGACGTATCCGTATCATCAGAGCGAGTGAAAGTCCAATATACTGGCAGCACGAATTAGAAAAAACATAACGATATAAGCTTGCAGATAGCAAAAACATAATTCGACCACTTTTTACCTACATTACCTACAAAAAAAATATCAGTACACTTCTATACACCGGAACTTACTCTTACTCGTCCACGGCTCCACCGAGCAATCCCCGCTCTCGAACAACCAGTCTATTCCGACTATGCTCCCCGTGTTAAGCGGATCTTCCATATTTTTGGATTTGTCCCGTCGTTTCTCCTTGCACTTCTCGCCATCCGAAAACTCGTGGCCGCTCTGATTGGCATTGCTGTATCTCCTTTTCACCCCTCTGGACTTGGACTCTTCTAATAAGGCGTCTCGAGAATTCGCCGAGTTGCTATCTATTCCATTGTCATCGTTAAACCTAAAAGATAATGATTAATCAATAGGACCGTATTGATATATTAATTAGAGACGGGGGTGAAGAGAGAGCATTAAAATTATACTTGATGGTACACATCAGTACCTCGAAAATCTATCTTCAAACCTGCCAGCGCTGAGACTTCTGTCTCGATTAGACGTGGCGCCCGAGTCACTCATGTTTTTCCGCGTCAGCAACGGACTGTAGGAGTCGCACAGACTGAACTCTTCCGAACTCTCGTTGGCAAACTGCTCGTCGCTCTGCTCGGCTATCGGGTAAACTATCTCGGATCCGAAACTAAGATACGGTAAGAGCTGTAGTTGGTTTCTCTTCAGTGTGTTTTGCGGTAAGACCTTCAATGTTCATTTTCATTCAGACATCGTAAACGCACGTCTCTCGTGGAAAAAATACTCTTAACATAAAGCATTTCGGGGAGCAACTTACCTTTTTTGTGTTAATTGTCTCGAGACTCTGGGGATGAAGAGGCAGGTTATTGTCGTCGGTGCTACTTATATTTTTACTGGTGGCACCAATTGTCTCGAGACTTTGGGGGTGTACCAGTTGTTGGTGCGGTTTCTTGGTGATAACCTTGGAATTTTAAGTGTAACGCTTTTTAATTTGCTCGCTAGAGACATTTAAGGCTGCAAACATTACTCACATTCGACTGTGAGACTTACAATTAGAGCCAGTCTGAGATTTACCTCTAACGACTGCGGATGAGACGAGATCTTGTTGTTGTCCGCGTCACCCTTCTTCGATATGATCTCCAAGCTCTGCGGATGGTCGTTCGTCAGGCGGGCCTTCGGTATGGAATTGGAGTTGAGCCTGCGGACGCTCCGATTGTACATCCAGTACGGATAATCGTCGCCGATGTGCCGATGATTCGTCAATTCCAACGAGCTCGTCTGCTTGATCTGGCTCTCCGATCCCGTCTTACCGAGGCCGCTCTGCTTCGAGTGTCGATTTCTGGACTCCTCGGACAAGTGCCGGCACAATTTACGCGAACCCGGCCGGTCCTCCTCCGCTATCACCACGCACTTTTGCCGCTTCAATTTCCATTCTGTACACAAGCGTTAATCAGTTCTACTTTAATCCTCACGTAAATGCTAATACAAGCTAACACACTCGATAAGGTTCAACACTCGATTACCATTTATAATGTTCTTGGAACGTGGCTCGTGATACTGCGCGGAAACTAGTTCAGCCTCGTGCACGTTAATGCTGGTTATCATCGGCTTACTGAGCTGCTGCGCCTCCTCCGAGCTCTCCGAACTGTTCTTCCTGTGTATCTCTACCTTTAAATCTATGGTCGAGCTAGCTTTATCCCGGGTATACTCGGACGTTATACTATCTGCGTCGGAATTCTGTATATTTGGTTCGATGAACGAGTTACGCGATGAACATTCTACAGGTGGGGTGTCCGTTTTACCTGGAGACAGATAAGAAACACACGGTGAAAAGCTGCCCTTGTACAAAGTAACACGCGAACGTTTTATATACAGGGTGTCCGAAAAATCGCCTACTCCACTTTGGAAGGTGATTCGGGACCCAAAAACAAGCAAAAAAGTTCATACAAACATAGGTCCAGAAATGAGCGGTTTCCGAGTTATAGCCACTTTTATATTCAAATATCGTAAATTTTTATTTTCAATCTTTTTAATTACAATTTTTTTTAAATCTTTTTCCAAGTTTTCATCCATCATCCAAGTTTTCATCAAGTCTTGATCCAAGAGTTCGGAATTCCTTTGATAGAAGAAGGGCATTCGTGCTGAAGGTGGTCATTTTTAACACCTTATTTAATTAGATTTAAATATCTGTTCATGCTTACTTTAAAAATAATGTAATTGTAATATTGAAAAATTAAAGAAGACTAAAAAAATTGTAATTAAAAAAAATGAAAATCAAAATTTACGATTTTTGAACATAAAAGTGGCTATAACTCGGAAACGGCTCATTTCCGGACCTATGTTTGTATGAACTTTTTTACTTGTTTTTGGGTCCCGAATCACCTCCCGAAGTGGAGTAGGCGATTTTTCGGACACCCTGTATATATAGGGGGGGGGTGCAAATTGCAAAAATATTTACGTGTGAAAATTGTACGCCACAAGTAAGAATGTTTATGTCAAATTGAACGAAATATGGCGTTTTCTCGTAATAATTTTATCGAATAGACTGAATTCGATTACTGAATGAAAAATGCAGACAAGTATCAGTTCTTCGTGAATCTTCTCTAAGCAGGGCTCGATTATCTCTCGCAAAGTAAATGGTATAAATCGTCGTACAATATATTTGGCTATTTTGCAAGGTGATGCATAGCTGTATGCAAGAACAGTTGACTCGTGGTCAACGTAATCCCGATCCTCACCATGTGTATACCTAAGTTTCACAAAATGAAATCCGTGTTTCAAGAAATCCTACAAGAATATTTTATTAACCAAGTGAGACCAATCAGTCCAATTGTTTTTCTAGAGGAGCCAAGATAGAAGATGCTTCTTCATGAAGACTCAGTTTAGACGTTGATCTATCACAGAATTATGTAACGTACCGTTCAAAACTTGCAGCTCTATGCCGTGGCCGGTCTGATCCTGCGACTGCTCCCTAGATTTGTTATGGCCCGGCCATTTCCTCTCGTCCTCCGACTTTTGCTGCCCGATGGTCTGGTTGGGCTCCTCCAAACATTCCGTGGTGTCGTAAACGCAGTGCAGAGCATGATTCATGCACTTTATCGTCCCAAAAACGGCGACGAACGACGAGCAGTACGCCAGCCAGACGTATAGTGTAGGAGGAAAATACTGAAACGTGAGATTTGGCTCAGTGGACTTCGTCAGGGCATTCTCCTCCGCGAGATCAGCAAGGTTTCTCGCTGATAACGACGGCACAAGATTTACATAAACGTCGGAGGAGCTTTCTAAATATTCAGGAATGTGCCGATCTTGCCCGATTTCGCAAGGAAACGCGGGTTAACCTTCAAAATAAACGTGGAGAGGAGAGAGAGAGAAAGAGAGAGAGAGAGGAGTGTCCGCGGGAACTTTCACTCTGTTTATATTTTTTTGTGGCTGTCGTTTTACCAGGTAGATCGTGAACGGCAGGCAAAGCAGAAACAGCCAGACGTAGAGGTGGAATGTGTTGGAGAAGACGTCGAGATGCGGATCGTAAAACCAGCCGCCCGTCAGGCTCGCCCAGACGCCCTGCCTCAGGATCTCCAGCGTTTGCGAACCCATGCTCCCAGTGGCCGTGGTGACCGAGCTGCCTCACCATCTTCCCATAACGGTCTTTAACGTCCGGCGATCCTGCTCGCGATCGCGCACGGTGCCGTCAGCTCTTCGTCACGGCCGGACGCGCGACGTACGGCGGGACGACGTTGCATCTTATTTTGTGTTCCCGTTAAATCGATGGATCTGGCGCACACACGACACGACTCGGTCGGATCACCGCACCACCACGGACAACCACGGACGGCCCAGCGGCGCGCGCCCAGCGGATACATACGCACCTGACCCCCCCCCCTCCCACCCCTAAAACCCCTGAGGAGCGAGGAAGAGGGGCGCACCGGCGGCGCTGACGAGACGCGAAAGCGACGTCTTCGATAACTCGCGCGAAGCGTTTATTATACTGGCGTTATAACTTGGAACTCTTGCGTGACCGTTTGTAGTCACCGCTGTTACGACCAATTTCTGCATCATAATATGGCGGTGTCCGTCACCGGAATTAAGTTGGCGCTGGGAGTTCATATTTTCGTATAAAACCTAGCTCAAACGATTGCTCCCGAATTGCTCCATTAGAATCCACAATTGCTCCACTTTTAAAATCAATAGTTTTCGAAATATTAACAAAAAACATCAAATTTTTAATTTTCAATAAAAAACATATTTCTAATAGCTTTGTGCAATTCTAACCAGCATCAAATGATTGCTCCTTCATTGCTCCATTAGAATCTACAATTGCTCCCCTTTTAAAATAAATAGTTTCTGAAATATTAACAAAAAACGTAAAATTTGTAATTTTCAATAAAAAACTTTTCTAATAGCTTTGTGCAATTCTATCCAACATACAACGATTGCTCTTTAATTGCTCCATCATTATTTTAATTATTTATTGCATATGTATTTATAGAAAAATTAATAAATTAATCATTTCGCAAGTGACGACGCCGCCACCTATCGGCCGCCTATCGTAATTACATGGCTCTGCAGCATAAACGGCGGAAATATTCAAACGAAACGTAACAGTTCTTTCGTTTACAACTAATCTCAAAGAGTCTAATCGACATTTCCCATTGATTTTTGCTTAGAACAATTGTTCCTCGGTTGCTCCATTGAAATGATCAATAGCTCCATGCGTATAATTGATATTCTTGCAAAAAACCATTCATTTCATTGCAAAAACATATTTCCCATAGTCTTTTGCAAGTTTATTGTACATAGGACGATTGCTCCTTTATTGCTTCACATTGCTCCATCGTTATTTCCACGATTTTGTGCATTTTTATTACAAATATTAACAAAGTAATCATTTCGCAAGTGACAACCCACATAGCACTGACGTAACAA